TAAGTCGATACGACCCACATACCAGACGGGCCCGCCGAAAGAAAGAAAGAAGAAGCCACCGGACCGGACGACCACACCAGGAACCGAGCACTGACACCCGAAAGACCGCCCGGGAAGAACAACCAAGAAAAACAGCGAGCCCTGCCACCTGGGTGCCGGTAGGCAGCCCCAACCCCTGTCGACATGTGGCCTTAGCTAGGGATAAATTCGGAACTTGTAAGCCGCTCAGAGACCCTTCGGGGTTGGAGCGGGGTAGAAATCGAAGTTATAAATAAATAAATATAAATAAATATGGCTACAAGCCTGGCAAGCTGATCTTCATGCCAAGAGCATTGTTACGGTGTATCCCAGGGCGACTGTCTTTTTGGTGATGCGCTAGACAGGGTACTTGTTGAAACAAAGGACAAAAAGAAAATGATGCCTAGATCGTTGGGCAGAGCATTCCAGAGGGGCCTGAGTTCCTTCTCCTTTTGTGGTCAACGACCCTTCTACAGCTATAGCAGAAACAGCAGACGTCCGTCTTGGGGAACTTCCAGACAGAATTTTAGAAGAGTCCAATGCAGACACGTGGTCACAGGAGGTCACCAGCAAGGTGTATCCCAGGGCGACTGTCTTTTTGGTGATGCGCTAGACAGGGTACTTGTTGAAACAAAGGACAAAAAGAAAATGATGCCTAGTTCGTTGGGCAGAGCAGTCCGGAGGGGCCTGAGTTCCTTCTCCTTTCGTGGTCAACGACCCTTCTACAGATATAGCAGAAACAGCAGACGTCCATCTTGGGGAACTTCCAGACAGAATTTTAGAAGAGTCCAATGCAAACACGTGGTCACAGGAGGTCACCAGCAAGGGGTACTCCATTGAATTTCTAAGCAGACCTCAAGACCGATTTGTCCCCTCACCATTCATAAAGGACTCTGTCAAGCTGGAAAGGACCTTGGATCCCATCCATCATCTTTCCAGCATTCTAGCTATCGAGACTGTTCCACCAGAGGAGAAGGGGCGAGGTATTTACTCCATCTTTTTCACCATCCCCAAAAGAAACGGAAGCTGGAAGGCCATCCTGAACTTAAAATTCCTAAACAAGTTTGTACGGTTGAGATGCTTCCATATGGAAACTCTTCACTCCATAGCGGAGGCCCTCCAGCCAGAAGAGTTTCTGATGTCCATCGACTTTACGGAGGCATACCTACATGTGCCCATCTTCAGCGGTCACAGACGTTTCCTACGATTTTGTGTTCAGGGCCCTCCCCTTCAGCCTGTCAACCGCTCCCAGAGTTTTTTCCAAGATGCTGATTCATCCAGTTGTTCTCCTAAGAGAAAAAGGGATACACGTCCACCCATACTTGAACGACCTTCTGATCCATTCAGTCTCTCGCTCCAGGTCCGTTCTAGACACCAAATGCACCATACAGTGCCTACAGTCTCATGGGTTCATGGTGAATCTTCAGAAGAGTTGCTTAACTCCGTCTCAGTCCATAGAACATCTAGGGGCGATACTGGACACATCCTTAAACACTATGGTTCTGCCCAACTCCAAGGCAGAGAAGATCCGCGGTCTCTGCAGACAGATCATCAGGAGCCGTCAATCTCTCCTTATGACCCTAGCTAAGCTGATGTGTCTATTCATTTCCAGTATAGACATGGTTCCCTGGGCCCATCTTCATGCAAGGTTTCTCCAGCGGTTCTTGAGACCCTTCCAACTCAGGATTATGCGACGTCACGATGTACCTGTCAGGGTACCCTCCAAAGTGAAGTCCAGTCTCCAATGGTGGACCAAAACACACCACCTTCTTCGGGGCCACGCATATTATGCAGAGGACTAGAAACAAATCGTCATGGATGCCAGTCTACAGGGATGGGGTGCAATTTACCTCAACTCTCCAGCACAGGGGCTATGGCCCAAGGAGGACAGCAAGCTTCCGATAAATGTGTTGGAACTGAGAGCCGTCAGTTCTGCATTTTCTTCCTCAGATTGCAGGTTGTCATGTTTTGATCAGAATGGACAACTTTGCAGCCAAATTGTACATAAACAACGAGGGAGGTTTGAGGTCTGCACATTTAAGCCAGGAGGCAATACAACTTTTCCTCTGGGCAGAGTCCAGTCTACATCAAGGCAGAACACATAAAGGGAGTCTTGAATACTCAGGCGGACTTGCTCAATCGGTGTCATCTGCAGGAAGTGGGGTGATCCCTGAAGCGGGACCTATTCTGGCTGATAGTGGATTCCTTTGGTCTGCCAAATGTGGACCTGTTTGCCTCTCCACTCAACTTACAGGTGAGGAGATACTTCACCAGGTTTCATCATCACAATGCAGAGGGAACAGATGCACTGACATCTCCATGGCCTCAGGGACTGATGTTTGCCTACCCGTCAATGCCAGTCATCCCGAGACTCCTGAGGAAGATTAAGAGAGCAGAGGTCATTCTGGTGAACCCCTATTGGCCCAGGAGGCCGTGGTTCTCGGATCTCTAGTGTCTGTTGGTCCTGCTGCCTCTTCGTCTCCCAGTGTCTCCAGACATGTTAACACAGGGGCCAGTTTGGCATCCAGACCCAGGATGGCTTCATCTGACTGCCTGCCGATTGAGAGGAGCAAGCTCCTCAAGCTAGGCTACCCAGAAAACCTGACCAACACAATGTTAGCATCTAGGAGACAATCTACATGCAGGATCTATAAAACCACTTGGAAGGCCTTCATTAGATGGGTTGGAGGAAATCTATAGATCCCCTCAAACCGCACCTCAGGAGTGTCCTTGCTTTTCTCCAGGATGGCCATGACTCCGGCCTGAAGGCATCCACTCTTAGGAGACAGGTAGCGGCCCTTTCGACGGTTTTAACACCAGTCAAAGGCTGAGTCATCTCCAGACACCCCCGCGTCAAGCGATTTCTGAAGGGAGTGTCTCTTAGGGACCCTCCTATTTCTCACAGGTTCCCCACCTGGAGACTCAACATAGTCCTCAATGCTCTGACTAAACCTCCCTTCAAGCCTATTAAAGAGATCTCGCTGAAGTGGCTCAGGATGAAAACGCTCCTTCTGGTGGCCATAACCTCGGCCCGTCGAGTTTTAGAACTAGGAGCTCTTTCCACTAGCCCAAGACTTTGTACCTTTCATAAGGACAAGGTCATCCTACTACCAGATCCTACCTTCCAGACCAAGGTAAATTCCAGGTTCCATAAATCCCAAGAGATTTGCCTTCCCTCCTTTTGCCCAAAACCTCTTCATACGCAGGAGCGCATCTGGCACACTCTCAATGTCTGACGAGCATTGAAAGTTTTCCTTCACTGCACCAGTGCATTTAGGAAGTCAGAATCCTTGTTCATTTCAGTTTCTCCACCTAACAAGGGGTGCAAGATGTCTAAGTCCACAATTAGTTCTACGCTCAAGTACTGTATTACCAAGGCATATAGAGTGCAAAAGATGGTGCCTTCTCCAGGTATCACTGCACATTCAATATGTAGTGCAGCGACCAACACGACCCTAGCAAACCACGCCTCAGTTGAAGAGATCTGCAAGGCCGCCACATGGTCCTCAGTTTTTACCTTTTTTCGACACTATAAGATCAATGTTTTTGACTCTGCTGATGCGGCTTTCAGACGGAGAGTTCTTCAACAGATTTTTACAGGCCAAGACGATGACCCACCCGAGTAACATGGACACTACTGTAAGGAGATCCCAGCAAGATGTCCTCCGCTCAGAGGGAGAACAGGCCATTGGTACTTACCATGAAGGGTCCTTCTCTGAGGTACGGAGGACATCTTGGGCCCTCCCTTTTCATCATCATGTCTGTCTTTTTTGTTGCTCTATTCTTTCTATCTCTCAGGGTAGTCCTTCCTGTCCTTACCCATCCTTTTATGCCTGTTGACCCTTCTGGGTTCTACTGTTCTAGTGGGTTGTTACAGTTTATGGTGTTTTTATAATGTTTTTTACAAGGTTCACTGCTCATTGGAGTTCTGTAACTGAAGCTGAGGGGCGTATCCCACCTAGTGGACAGGAAGTGAAGTTTGGTTCCTCCCTCCCTAAGGAAAGGGTGGGAAACACCCAGCAAGATGTCCTCCATAGCTCAGAGGAGAAGGACCCTTCATGGTAAGTACCAATGGCCCATTTTCCACACTCCTGCTTCATATTCTGTGATCTGTATGCTTTAAGAGCATTTCCAAGCCAATGATGGGAATGCTTAAACTGAAGTAATTGCTGCACAGACCTGGTACTTGTGCATGGTGGTATTTTATTTTGGAAAGCACAGATGTATGAATTAATGTAACAGTGCTATATCAAAAGGGCTCATGAACAACTGCCTGTTACAACCGAATTATATCTAGGGAACAGAAGAGGCTACACACGCTCAACTCTTTCCTTTCTCTGTGTTCATTCCCCTACCCTACAATCTTTCCTAGTTGAAATGAATGTGGGTCTTTATACAATTGGTGTACATGGGGTGCTTCCCAAAACACATTCACTATTTAAAAATTAAGATGGAAGCCATCCCCATAGTGATTTCCTTCTTCAAATGTTCATGTAACCTGATCCCTAAGCAACTACTTGGATAATTTCTTTTGTTTGTTAAAAACAAAAATAACCAGCCTGACCACCAAGACTTTTTACCTATAACTGTAACATTGTGGAGGAAATTCTTTCCCTTTTACTTGGTTTTCTCCATTGTGCTTGGGTTTTTCCTTTGAACATAATTGTAAATACAATAATGGCTTATATTGTCAGGAAGGAAGAGCTTCATGTTGTGAATGCCGGTAGTAGTGAATAGATACAATTATACATTCGACCACAACTATTATTCTAGAGGAGATCCATTGATGTCCCAGCATATCATAAGAGACTGTTGTTGGATGCTTCAGATTTAAAGGTTTATTGGCTGCAGTGTAGTTGGAGCCACTTTTATTCAGTAGCAGAGTAAGTGTTGTGAGGATTATGGTTGCTATTTTATGTTAAATATTTCCTAGTTGGGTGTTCCCTCCCAAACTAAGTGGCAAAATTTTAATTGTTTTTCAGCAACAAGAGCAGGATCCAACTAACTTATATATCTCCAATTTGCCGCTTTCAATGGATGAGCAAGAGCTTGAGAATATGCTGAAACCTTTTGGACAGGTTATCTCTACAAGAATACTTCGTGATTCCAATGGCACGAGTCGTGGAGTTGGTTTTGCAAGGTATTATAATACCTGTCTCTTTTTTTTCTTTAAAAAATGCTTTGTTTGATAAATAATAGTAATGCTATTAAAAAAGAAGAAAAATTATGGGAAACAGACCAAACTTTATTATAAAAAGGAGCACAAAGGTTGATAATCTGGTCAAGTATATATTGACTGGTCAAGTACTTATGTCACTGTTCTCTTTGGGGTTATGGGTGGGGGGAATACAGCCAAGTTCTGAACTATTGTAATATATTATTTTCATTTTGCTAGCTGTGAACAAGATAGAAAAGAATGTGCAGTTGTCCTTGCCTTTTATCCTAGAACCTCAGAGACAGCCCACACAGTTGCTAAAGTGCTTTAAATATGAACCTGTAAATAATGTGTGTTTGGGATTCTGAAAGGCTAGGGAGCCCTCATGCCTGCCTTTGCTGTCAGTGTAAAATTTCATGATAATCGGTTCCTTAGAATTAAAAATCTAGGCTGCCACCTGCACAAGGACAGTCATGGAATATTTAGCACTATTTTACTATAAAGTAAGCAGTCACTTGACTGTCATCCACTTCTAGTGCAGAATACTCCTAACCCCTTATGTCCTCAGTGTGAGAGCCAATGTTGTATAAGTGGTTAGAGTGTAGGACTAGAATCTCGGGGAACCTGGGTTCAAGGCCCCACTCTGCCATAGATGATCACTTGGTGACCCTGAGCTAGTTACTCCCTCTCTAGGCCTAACCTGCCACTGAGGGAGGGTTATTTTTGTGAGGACAGTGTGGAGCTGGGGCAAACAATGTTGTAACCTGCTTTGGGTTCCTGTTGGGGAGACAAGCAGAGTAGAAATACTGCAATAAAATCACATTTCTCAGTTGAATATTTTACTCAGTGATACTTTACAGGAACCAAAACCCAGAAATAACTGGTTAAAACAGACTGTTCGCATAACCGTTATTTGTTTTTTATTAGCTATGAGAGTCTAATCTTCCCTTTTTTTCCATTAGGTGCCATATGCAATTACAAAATTTGGCAAAAGTTTGTTTTGCTCCATTTGGATGTTTTTGTTAGGTATCAAGTTTATTTTGCATACCATATGACTATTCTGAAGGGGGGGGACTAGCTGGGTGAATCAGATATGAAGTATTGATCTAATCCCAAATCCATCTGTTTTCTAAGCTTGTAATCACAGCACCTCTTCTCTTTTGAGGAGAGGAGGACATCCTGATGCTTCTCCCATAATCCCCGGAGGCAAGATATTAAGTCATTTTCTTCCCTCTCCTGAGGAGAGAAGTACCTAGTTCTTCAGTTCTTTTTCTCCCCCCATCGCATGTGCAGGACTTGGAGGAGCTCCAATTGCCTTTTAGCCTTTTTTCTGTTGCAGAGGGTTTTTTAGGTCATCTTTTATTTCCTCAGAAAAGAGCAAGAGTCCAGTAACACCTTAAAGACTAACAAAATTTGTGACGGGGTAATGAGCTTTCCTGAGTCACTGCTCCTCCCTTCAGAAAAAAACTCCTTGTTTGTCCTCCCACCTCCATCTCTGCCCTGCTCAGCCACTAAACCACATGGCTGTGTCATTTGCTTTTGAAACAGCAGGCGCAGGAGCAGATGATTTAGGGGTCATCATGCCAGACAGCAGAGGGCTGCAGAAGCAAAAGCAGAGATGTAAATTCGCCCCTCCCAATGAAATCAAAAGAGCGTCAAGCTGAAACCAAAAGCAATTCAACCAGCTGTGAGATCTTTGGCACCAAAATCCCTGCACCTTCTTGCAGCAGCTGCCAGTGGCTTGTGTTCACTGCCCTGAAGCCCAAAACGCAAACTGATCAAGAGGTGGTGAGTGTGCAAGTCAATCCTGCTTCCCTGGGCCCCTCAGGAGGAGGTGGAGAGGCCTTTGTTGCCCCGGTGGGTTTTTCAGGATAACAATAAGATGGTCAGAAGAAGGGGGGATAGGGCATCGAAACTTAAGGCAGCATTCTGGGAGAACGCCCTTAAAGCCTCGGAGCCCTCGTCCACGTTGGCCATGGAGAAAGCACCCAATTCCGCATCTTTGGAATTGATGTGTTTGGCTCCATCTCCTGGATCCGTGTCTCAGCAGATCCAGTCTTGGTCACGCTTCCCTCGGGCTGATTGCACCTCTTCTGAGCCTTCAGCTAAGAAGGCTAAAGGCAAGACAAAGGAAAAGTGTAAATTGGCTCCCCAGCAGAATGCTCCCATCTGCACTACTGAGCCAATGCCAACTTTGCAGGAGAAGCCCAGGACCCCATCTCCGGGTCCAAGATCTCCACCTGTTTCTGTCTTCAGTGGGGAGATCTCCACTTGTTTCTGTCTTCAGTGGGGATATTGGCTTACCACGTGACCAGGTCCCACCTGAGTCTGATCCAGAACGAATGGCCACAGTTCCGTGGTCTCAGCCCCAATTGCTGATGCAGTGGCCTTCGCATCCTTACATGATGTCTTCAGGATATTTGGAGGAATGGAGTGACAACTTTGCAAGCCTCAGTGATGCGAGTTTGTATCATTACCCTCATCGGGTATCGTGCCCATCAGTGACCATCTCACACAGGCCACATTCTCCTATTCCTGCGATGAGAGGAGGAAAAACAGCAATTGAATCTGACTGATCTGACACAACTTCGGATCCAAGCCTGTGTGAGGGTAGGCAAGCCATCTCCGGCGTCTCCCACAGAGGATCTCAACATGTTTAGACAACAGATTATTCATATGGCCCAGTCTCTTGAGACAGAAGTCATTACCTCAGAGCACAAACCCAAAGATAAGATTCTGAGTCACCTCTATTCATAGTCTCCCAGAACTATTACTTTCCTGGTGTTAGAGGGCCTTGAAGACCTCATGCAAGAACTGTGGCAAAAACCTGCATCTCTCCAGCCTACCTCCAGAAGGGTAAAACATTTTTATAAGACAACTCCTCCTCCTCCATCCTCCTTGGTTACAGAGGAGGTGCAGCTGATGAAGGGCCATCAGGCCTAGGACTCCGCTTCCATGGATTGGGAAGGAAGAAAACAGGATGTCATGGGTCAAAAATTATATTCTTCAACAACTTTAGGTTTCAAGATTGCCAACGATGAAACCATTATGGCTGGTTATCCGCTCCTCTTATGGGAGAGGATTCTTCCATTCCTGGAACTCCTGTCAGAAGATAAGCATCACCTCACTAAAGTTCCACATGCGGAGGCCATTAAACTTTCAAAGCGGCAAATTAATGCGGGACAGCATTCTGCGGATTCATCTGCGTGGGCCATGGCAAGCCCTGTTGTACTCAGGCGCCATATGTGGTTAACGGCCTTTCCTGGTGTTAGCCGCCCTGAGCCCACTTTGCGGGGAGGGCGGGGTAAAAATTCCAATAAATAAATAAATAATTTCCTGTGAAAACCAGGCTTAAGGCTGAGGACATACCTTTCGAAGGTTCCACTCTCTTATCTTCCAAGATAGATGATGCTTTCCCTGATAAAGAAGAACAAGCAGATAGCGAAGTCCCTAGGAGTCTCACATTCGTCCATGTCCCAATTTAAGCAGAGGTGCATTGTGGGACAGCCCTGGCATCTGTTTCAAAGGGACTATCACTTTTCCATCCTGTCGGGGTCTCAGTATCCTACCCTTAAGCCATTTACCCCACAACAGGGTTACCATAGGCATAAGGGTTCCTATCAACCTAGGTCGAATCAGCAACTGCCCTCTTTCAGAGAGGCATCTTCATCCCAGAAGTCATCCTTCTAACTAGGATTGTTGCCAGCCCCTGTTAAATTCAGGGACAGGCTGGCTCAGTTTTGCTACAGCCTGTGAGGCTATTACCTCCGATGAGTAGGTTTTGTTCATAGTTAAATTTGGTTACACATTAAAATTTAAGTCTATTCCTTCTTTTTCTTTACCTTTAAAGGGATCCAACCAAGCAGCTTTGGGTCTTGCCCAGACTTTGGCCTTTTTAATTGACAAGGGCACCATAGAGGAGGTTACAGTGTCTCAAGCACTGGAGGGTTTCTTCTCTCGTATGTCCCTAGTAGATAAGAAGGATGGGGTAGTTAGACGCATTTTAGACTTCAGAAAATTAACCATTTTTCTTCATGTTTCAAAATTCTATATTTATTTATTCAACTTTTATCCCGCCCTTCCGCCGAAGCGGCTCAGGGTGGCTCACAACATTAATAAAACCTGGTGTCCATCCCTTTAATTTTATAATCATTAAAAATTAATTGTAGGTTCATCATTTTTTATTTGAAGGATGTCTATTTTCATGTTTTAATCCACCCTCAACATTGCAAGTTCTTACATTTTTCATGTGGGGAACAAGTTTTTCAGTACACTGTACCATCTTTTGGTCTAGCCCTTGCACCCAGTGTATTCTCGAAGTGTTTAGCCCGAGTTGTTGCTTACCTCCATATGAGGGGTTGCCATATATTCCCTTACTTAGATTATTGGTACAGTGGCAGATTCCAAGGACTGTTTGTTGAGTTATTGCACTCTTGTCCTGGAGACCTGTCAAAGACTAAGACTCCTGTTAAATTGGGATAAATCACAATTAATTCCATCTCAGAGAGTACAATTTATCGGAGCTATGCAAGATTCCCTAGTGGTGAAAGGTTTTCTACCTCCCAAAAGGGTACAGGTCATCTTTGCCTTGGTGAGACAGTTCAGATCTCATGGGTTCCAATTGGTTTGGAAAATCCTGCACCTTTTGGGATATATGGCTTCTACCACCACAGTCCTGCCTATGGCTAGGTTACATATGTGACCTTGCAACTCTGGTTTCTATCTTGTTATAGAACTGGGGTTCATGCCTTATGGCACAGATTCTCTATTTCCAGACCTGTCATACATTCTCTATTGTGGTGGTCTTCTATAAATAATTTATCCTTTGGTGTTTCTGAACATGAGGTAGTCCTTACTACAGAGGCTTCGCTCTTGGGTTGGGGCACTCATTGTGAGGGATTGTCAGATGGGGTACTTAGTTAGAAGATGAGAAACTGCTGCACATTAACATTTTAGAATTGCGAGCAGTTCCGTATGCCCTTCTTTGTTTCTCAGATACCCTTTGGAACCAATCCATTTTTGTCCAGATGTACAATGCAGTTAAAATAAATAAAACAAGCAAGGGGGTCCAGGGTCCAGAGGTCTATGTCAGGAAGCTACCCTTGCATGAGGCACAGCAGTGAAGCTCAATACTTCCATTCAAGCTATCCACATCCTTGGGAATTTAAACACGGAAACCAACAGATGGAGCAGGGCTGGCACACTCTTCCACGAGTGGTCCATAAAGGCCACTAACCTGGAACCGCTTTTTACCCTCTGGGGGGTTTCGGATGTCGATCTTTTTGTGATGCAAGAAGACTATGAGGTTCTGTTCCCGAGCAGGCTCAGTAACATCCCACATGTCAGAGTGTCCTCCTCTCTTCAAATGAGAAAGGAACTTTGGACTTACCATGGACTTCTACTTGAGGTAGAGGAGGACACCCTGGACCCACCTGATATAGGGGAATCTGATTGCTTTGTGAATAATGGCCCTCTTGTCTCAATTATCTTAAACTCTTTTCCCACTGTTACTGTTTGTTATGTCTTTATTATATCCTATGTAAAGACTTAAGACATGTAAAGCTGGAACAATCCTATTGGCTAATGTGTGAATGTACCCAATCAGATTGCAGAGAAATGTTCAGGAGGGAACTGATCTGATTGGATGTTATCTTTGTAATGCCATTGGTCTTTAACTGTTCTAGGGCGTGGCTACACCAGCCCGGGATAGTTTAAAAGGAGCCCTGCTCCACTGTTTGTTGTTGTGTGTTCTTCACTGTTCCTGTTTGAAACCAATAAAGCTGATTCACTGTTACTTACAAGACGGCATTGAGTCAATACTTGACACTGTTAACTGCTGAATGTTGTTTCTTCTCTGAAATAGGTCTGGCCCTCTGGCCTCGTCTCATAGTTGTTTAATCTTAAGGTTATGTCCTGTTGGCAGCAACAAACAATGACACACTTTGTGGTGTTCTATGGAAAGCTCTGGAAGCCTCTGAGCTGAAGAAGGAGATACTCCTCTCCTCAGGGGCAGGAAGAAAATGATCTAATATCCTGCCACCACGGATTGTGAGAGAAGGAGTACCCAAACATCAGGAGGTCCCCCTTTAGCTCAAATAGAATGAACCTTCATGGTAATTCCAAAGTTCCTTTTCTTCTCATACATGCATAATGTTGTAAACTACACAGGGCTTGAGGGCTGAATACAGTGCATGGCCAGGATATCAATCCTTGGCAATTAAACACCAGATTGACCAGGAAAAATATTTGAATACAGATGTACTGTACATTGGGCGTCTGAGACACCACCAAGGAGTACAGAATCACAAAGTAAAGAAAGCAAAACATGTATAAATTCTTAATTATCTATGTTCTTTTTTACACAGGATGGAATCAACAGAAAAATGTGAAGCGGTGATTGCTCATTTTAATGGAAAGTTCATTAAAACACCACCAGGAGTTTCTGGTATGTTATTTGAATTCTTCTAAATACTGAGGGTGGTTCTTGTTACTAGAAAATAGTTGTATGGTTACGATAACCAGGACCAGTTCACAGTGTATTCCCTGAATCATGGATAGTCCTTTTGATCCTCTGCATTTATTTATGTAGACAAATATAACTTGCTAATTAAGCAGTCATGGCTGTGGCTGGCACTGATCCCAATGATGTTTTCCCCATCCACTGAATTTAGATAAATTTCTACCAGTCACTTCATTAACATGAACACATGCCTGTGTTTGGATGTTGCAGCAAGTCAGAGTAAGGAGGGTCCA